CACTCCAGTATTTTTACCGATTAGATCAACCAATAACCTTTCAGAAAACGATACTTCTTCAAATTCTGGATCCGCTAATGTATTTCAAGTCAATCAAACTTCATCGTTAAATGAATCTAATAATAAATCCATAACACTACCTTCAACATCAAATGGACTTAAAGTTGTAATTTTACCAAATTTGAAGACCAATAAAACTGTAGATAAAAAGCTTGAAACAGTGCACAGTTATACATGTCCTTTATGTGCGGTGATATATCCATCTTTAATGTTCTTCCATGCTCATCTGAAATATGCTCATGCGAACTCCATTTGTAAGAATCCAGTTGATGCGCAAGTGTATCTATCAAATCAGAACATTTCTATAGTAAAATGTTTATTGTGTCCAAGCATCTTTACAGATGAGGTCACGTATAAAACGCATTTGAAGAACTTCCACACGCATTATGTGTATATGCCATGCTTTGAAAAGGAAAAGATCGATAATGCGAATAATCCAATAGCACAAACAAACAACAATAGAAAAACTATAATACCTGAAGTTATTACTTTGGATGACAACGATAATATCGAAAACGATTCAGATAAACATACAGCCGAAGCAGATGCCATACCAACCACACGTCCATGCGAAGAGAACGATAACAAAATTGGTAAATTGAGGGTAAAGTCTTTTGCAAAGATTATTGAAAACTTATCTATGGATTTTGCATTGAAATCTAAGGAAACCACTTTTCGCGAAAATTCAGTGCCAAGTTTCGAGGATATAGTTAATGATAAACACAGATATGAAAATCTTAAATAATAATGACTTGTACAAATGCAAAGAATATTATTTCGGATTTGATGATTTAGTGCAATAATTAAATAACATTAAGAATTGATTTAAGCAATGTATTGTTTAAATATAATCTTTAATTAGTTTTGGATGAAGTGGTTAATTAATTGTATGAATTTTGTTTAATAAAAATTGATTTGCTATCTAATTACATTTGTTTGGGATATAATTATTATATAAGCGTGATAAAGTAGAATAAGTAAGTTGTTAGTATGTAAATTATTAAATTTAAGTATATATCTCTTTACGCATCGATAAGTAACTATAAATTAGGATTTTATATTATATTGTTTGTCATAAGATTTTTTAAGTCGTGTGAAATATTATTTAATGCTATAATTATATTGGTTTTTAGTCAAACTAAGTATTTAAGCAGAGTTCCTTAAATAAAAGCTATGGTAAACATTTTAGGAACTTAATATTTATAATATTTATCAATAAAATTTTAATTATAATAAATTACAGTTATCTTATAATGTTATAAAAACAATGAAATATAAAATTTATAATTGTAAAAATTTTATATTAGATTGTTTTTATAACATTATAAGGTAACTTTAATTTTTTAGCTTCTCAGTGTTCTGTATAAAAGTTTGATAATACTTATATTTACTTAGGAGATGATTACTTTATAAGAAATTAATTAAATAATAGTTTGTTTTATAAATATTTCTTTATTATCAATATACAAAGAGAGATTTGAATTGTTTATAAAATTTCCTATTTTTAATGTGGCATTAATTCCTTCGATAATACCTTTTTTTAAATTTGTTTATGTTCTTCTAAAAATATTATTTTTAACAAAGGCTATAATTAAAAACTGTAAAGAAAATTTTTTGAAAATTTAAAGATTTGGTTAAATCTCTACATATTTGCCATATTAAGCATTAATAGGTAATGATTAACTTTTTCAAACTGATAATAAATAGTTAATTTTGTCTCTAATAAGAAAAAATAGTTTGTGCAAATAAAGCTATAAATTTGCTGATCTTTTGTTATCAATATTTATTTATGGTAATTATTTACAATTAGGTTCTATTAAATGTAAATGATATCCGAAAATTACGTATAATTCATGAAACTTATTTTGTTGATAGCTTGTTAATAAACAACTAGCGCAAATCTTCACAACATTACTCAAAGTAATGACCTTGATAACATATATAAAAATTATTGAAATCAGAGTTCCTTAATTATAAATAATTGCCTAATTTATAATTATTAATAGTTATATATTTTAAAAAATATTGTGTATTTTACACGCAGTTATACGAAACCTTATCAATTAATAGTTATATTACGATTTAATTAAGGAATAAATATGATATAATTATCATAATTTGTTAAAAAATAAACATAATTTTTTAACAAATAAGAGAAACATTTTCTTACCTTCTAAAAAGTGTAAACATTTCATAATTTTTATATGTATTATATAAATAATTAAATTAAAATTTTTTATATCAACTAGGAATGGACTTAACATTTTTTATTTCACAAATCTTTATTTTTAAAGGACAACAGCAGCTTGGACGCATGTTCAAGGGGATGAATTTACAAACAACGCATTTTTTAGGACAACGTTACTATTTTTTTCAGACAATTACTAAATTCTGTAAATAAAGAAGATATACATTTCTTTGGATATCAGAGATCTATTTTAGCCCGACCTGATTTTTGTGAATCATACTCGACCTATCGATGTAGCGTGTTGCAGAGAGGCTGACTATTGGTGCAGTCTGCGAATTTTATTGCACTATCTGACCCGTCCAACATGGATTTTCACTACTCCTGGGTTGCCTACATCCGATTTTACGGCTGCTATCGTCATAAAAGTCTTATAACGATTTAAAGACGTGCTTGCAATGGCCGAGAGTTCATTCCTCGGTTCTTAGCAACATGTCGCACACAAATTCGATTTTTTGAAAAAGAGTATAATTCTATCATTAAAGTAATTATGCTAATTCCCAAGATTGCAATTATTTTGTGTTATAATATTAATCAATTCATTTTTCTTTTTTTCTTTTATTAAAAAAAAAAACACTATTTTAAGAATCGTACAGGTTCTTAAAATAGCAAAACATAACAATTTGCAATTACATTAATTTGTTATTAATTTCAAACTCGAGATTTGTCGCTTTGCCACGCGACTTGTCGATACATTTATCGAAAAACAATTGCGTAATTGAATGGCAGAATACATGCACGGATTTTTGTGCCAATTTTTAATTTGTATTATAAATATCCACGATTAACTTCACATCAATGGATGGCCCATGCTAATAGTACTTGCCGAATGTAATTACGGCAGCGTTATTGAGCTGCAATTTATTTACCAATCTGTTTGTCAACGCTGAAAGCGGACTGCATTAGAACGTTAATTCGCGACGTGATTAACCGATTAATTCCTGTTACGCGAAATGATCCGAGAATCGTGAACGAGTTATAACAGAAAGTAAATGATGAAGTAAATGATGGGAAATGATATGCTCATAAAATGTATCTTATTGCTATTCGCACTGGCAATGGACTGCATATATATTTCAATTCATAACTTAATTAACTGATTTTGACGCAGAAATGTATATCTACTAACGTAAAAAGATAAGTATAATAAATTATTATGAATATTAATTTGTTTTCCTCATTAGCATAAAAATTTCAGAAATATTTTTAGTAGAATAAATTCTAGAAGATAAAAAATAATTTTATTTTAAAGAAATTTAATTGACCAAAAGTAAAAAGAAAAGGACTGTTTTATCTATTTGTCTGAAAAGATGTATGTTATAATTTTTTTTGGTTACTTTTGAAGTGTAGAATATATCTGCAAATTTTGTGGCAGGACTTTGGACTTTCCTTGTATTTTGAAGACAGAGCGAATTGACGAGAATTCAATTCCAAAACTGATATCTGCGAATATTCCTGCTTTACGAATTACAAATCGGAGAATGCCTTTGTAAGCGTTTCCATGTATGTATTGCGCTGGGAAACGATATGCAATATCAATATTATGGTACTTGTACACGCGTATGTAGATACGACAAAGGGCGCATCTTACTCGATATTATTACGGCAATATGTATGCATAATTATTGCGAATGAAATTGTGAAAATGATTACTAGCTTCATCCTCGCGTCTTATATCCTCGCGTCGCTTGTCGTATATTATGTGGATAAGATATAACATCTTTAATTTGGCTAAAATTAAAAAAAAATAATTATTAGGAATCTGTGCTTTTCAATATTTTATAAATTTAAAATACTAAAGTGTAAGCTAAAGATAAAATAAATTGAAGAAAATAAATTTAAATTAATATGTGAAAATAAAAGTGGGATTGTGTGTAGAAGCCCACACTAATTGTAAGTATAGGGCTTAAAGATACAAGTAAAAGACAAGAATTAAAATTTTTTTTAAAAATTTAGCAAACACGGATGAAGAGAATATTTTCTCACTCAGAATAGCAAGAGGGACGTACTTGAGTCGTTTCCTTTAGAATGACGTAATGTGTAATGGCGAGAAAAAATTCGTTTGCAAGAATAACGAGCGCTAAGTGCTCGAGTAAATTCAGGGGCCTGAATAGATCGCGTTCTTGTCGACGAGCGCGCAGCTTCCTCCGCAAAAGTAACTCAAGTACAAGAGTGGCCCTGCTTGTCTTCGACTTCGTTTGAAATTACCAGTTAGTTAGCGGGGCCAGGTGTCTGCGGCTGTCAAGGAACGTATGGAAAGTTTTCTCAGTTTGCTTCGAGTTTCGTCAGGGATGGGGTGTTTTAAACGACGTCACGAGCCGCGTCTATGTATACGATGATATCTTATCTAGAATAGCACTGTATATTCATTCTTACTTTGTTACGATAGTGTGCTTCGGAGTTTTTAACTACATGCAATACGGAAAATGTATACACATATGTCATTTTAACGCTTATAAATTTGGTGCGCCAACCTATAGTGATTGTTTTACTTTCTTAAACTTATGTACCGAAGGGTGGAGGTACCATAATTAATTGCAACCAGTGAGTTGGAATGATTATTAGAATAATTACTATGATTACCTTATAATTGCTTTCGGGAAGCCAGGTAAGACTTTCTGCTCTGCGGTTAGCAAGTTTAAGTGGGATAGCGATGTTATTGTTTCACTTATTAATTCGTACAAAATTTTTTAGTTGCGTTTATAACCTTTGGGACTTTAACAAGTTTGAATCAAGTCTAATGCAAATTCGAAAAAAAAGAAAAAAATTGATGTTATTAACGTTTCAGGTAAAGCATCTTCCATAACCATTCATTTCTTTCTTGTCTCGCCTCTACTTTTGAGATTTTGGGTAGCGTCAACTAAAGTTTAGATTAACAGATTGAAATTTAGCGGGATTACTTATTTTCTAGGTTTGAATCATATTTGCTGTTGACAATTTATAGGTAGCTGCTCTTATTGGAAGTGTTGAATAGTTGCGAAAAAAGGTTCGGTCTGGCGAGCACTTGTGCGATATCGAGAGTCTGTTTTAGCCGAGTTCGCATTCGGCCTTTGTATTTTAAAATCGACATGTAAAATATAAAATGTATTATAAATGTGTAAAATATAAATATACTACTTTACAAAAAATAGGGAATATTTTTCAGACGCTCAAAATCGAATAATTTTCAAACCACTAAAACTCGAAAAATTATCGCAAACAAAAAATTGAAAAAATATTTTAAAGCTTGAAGTTTGTATTTTTACGTGTTTTAGACTGTTTTGTGAAAGAGCTAATGTTACTTATTCTTATTGATTAAAATATAATATTGTATGTAGCATTATTTTAAAACTGTTTGTGTTTTATTTTTGCGGTCTTTTCAATCAAAGTATTACTATTTTTATTTGAGCGATATTTCGTGGATTTTTTAATGTTTCAATTTTGAAGGATATAAAGCTTTAAAAATTTAATGCTTTGAAGTATGTAAAATCTACGAGTACAAGAATCATTGAGGGTGCACTTAATGCAAGCTCGAAAAGCGGTCGATGACCCGTGAACGGTAAGCCGCTTATTGGTACA